GAGGTCCCTTCCAATCCCTAACGTTCTGTGATTCTGTGATTTCCTTATTTTATCCAATATTATTTGAGGAAGGCGTATTTTTAAGTACTCATAGGAATTTCTGCTGAAGGGCCTCTGGAGCACAGAGCTGTGTAACAGAGCACCTTGAGGATGATTGAGCAGCACCAAGTAGTGAGCACATCTCTAGCTGATAGTGTCTTACTCACAGTACATACGGTATTGCTGTGCTCAGAGTTTTGGGCTTTCTTCTTTTTAAAGAAAAGTCTCTGTGTGTGAAAGCAGAAGGGAGTGTTATATTTGTGTCTGGTGACCATCTTTAGATATATGAGATGGTTAGAATGGCCTTAAGAAGTTATTTTCATCTACAGAATCTAGTTTGATAAATTATAGGTAATAAGCATTTGCTTATTTTATCCTGTTTTATGTGTATTAACACTGCACTTGGAATGCTTGGAGCGTTTAATGATAACGTCCTGCCATAATACCTTTTTCCTGTGGGCTAATAAATGGAGACATTGTGTTTAGATACAGTTTTTAGTAGGTCTGCTGAGGAGTGTGGATGTTTGAAGCCCATTCTATGACTCACCCAGGTCTTTACACGTGCATTATTTAGTCTTAAATCTCAGAGACGTTGTTACTGCTTTTGAAGAGAGGGGGTAAAAGTTAAATGCTGCACTATTTAATGCTACTCCCATTTAAAGATTTTCAGATGTAAAAGAAAAGAAATGTGTTTTCATGTCTCTTACTTTCCCGCACTTACAAACTTTTATGATTACTTGGCATTCGTCAGGAGGAAAGTAGATGGCAAGTATGTTCTTGAAGAATTCTAATTATTGCTATTTCAGGTGGAAGAGAGACTCTAACTGGACACATGAGATTTTTAGGACGGTAGATTTGCTTAAAAACGATTTTTATGTTGTGGGTTTTTTTTAGGATGGAAGCAGGGAATGACCACCTGATATGTTTTCGCTTGTTTGTTTTTGGGAGGTGGGGAATTAGTAAATGTGAAACATGAATGTGTCTTTAAAAGTTTTTTGGATGATATGAGCAATGGTCTTTGTTTTCATTAGTATTTTTCCTCTTGTAAAACCAGAGAAACAAGTCGGTGGAATGCCAGAAAACATTTATATGCAGTTTCTGACTTTTATTTCCATGGAGAATAGATGGAAGAAAGTGCTGGGGAGTGAAGGGCATGAGTTTACACCCCTGTGTGTAGCTGCGCCTGCCTATGTGTGTGTAGGGATTGACACGGTTCCAAGTTTATTTGCCTTTTTCCTTTCAGGATTTGTCTCTTTCTGTAACCGGGGCTGTCACAGCACTGCTGAGTGCTGATGTAACGAGAAATGTGGAGTTAGATGAGTGCTCCGTTTACCTGTTCACAATAGTGCTGTGGGATTCATGAATTCCTAATCCCTCAGGTTACAAACTGGAGATCACTTTTAATTCTCAGAGAAAATAGGAGACAAATTGAAGATATTTGTGAAGTGGTGTCTAATAGTCGTTAACTATTAGTAATAGCGTAGGGTTTTGTTTGCTTGTTTTTAGAAACCAAAATATAGCACTGTATTTGGTAAATAAAGTAATGCATCTAGAAAAATCTCAAAACTTGGCCAGATGAAGTAAAACCAGTATATTTTTGTTGAGTTAAATAGCACAAAATAAAAATTTGTATACCGTGGCTTAGCCCAATCAGCTTTCACATTGTGGTACTGGCACTGATAAATAAGTTTATAATATTCTGATTATGGATGGTAAATGTCCCAAATGCATATTCTCCAGTCCTGTTAGGCTTTGCTCTGTAGGTTTCTAAGGTCCTGTTCTTTGGCTGAGATAAAATGATTCTGGATGAGTGTCTGCTGGACTGTTTGATTGTTTTTACTGAAATAAAATTTAAGAAAAGTAATTAATAGCACAGCATTTTTTAATCTTTGTAGGTTAAGTGCTTACTCCTTAAAACTTCTTCACAGGTAAATTAGCATGTGGGATGCTGTGCAGACATTTAGCTGGAGATATCTAAAATGTACTGAAATTGTGTTTCAAATTTCCTTATTTCAGCTGTAATTGTGACTCTAAGACAAGGAGAAGCTTTTTACAGAACTTTGTGCTTACAGAAAACTCAATTTAAAGGAGAAAATGGTGCTTTAACTTTATTGTCCAAACACTGATTTTTCTGTAGAAACAGAAATAATAGATTGCTATTTGTGTACCTTGCTCTTAACTGTAGCCATGTTTTTGTTAATTCTGAATAGATCTGGTTCAGCCTGGTATGTTGCTAATAAGGCTTCTGTATGTGAATTTGCAGGTTATTTTAGGGTTCAAAAACAAACTCTAGTTTTTGAGCTACTCTTCTGAGGATTGTGTCATAAACTGACTGATATAGTCCATGGTAATCACAGTATAAATCCACTTCATGTACTTATATATCACTTGAATCCTGAATAAATCTGGGTTTCTTCATGTGAAGCGATGTTACCACAAGTTACTTTGTTGTTATTTATCAGACAGTTAAACCAACATTGATTGTACAAGATTTCAATGTTGTTGTAGAAGAAAAACTTGTATTGCGAATTCTGATCGCAAAATACATTTGAAAATCCTTTTGAACTCTAGCAGAAACTGCCTCCAAATATTTTTCCAAGTCATAAAAATTTCTTCGTGGCATTTTTTGTTGATATTTCTCAGTTCATATTCCATAGCGAAAGATGTCGACCTAATTAAGCATTAAAAGAAGGAGCGGTTAGCAGGTATAATGCTGTTAGACTTCAGTTAACGTGGATGTGCCCATGACCTCCCAGATAGATCCAAGCCTAATCTGGCTGACAGCTACAGGATGGCAGCGCTTGCCACGGGCCTTCTGCTGCTGCTTGCTGGAGCTATTTGGCTGTAAAGCATGCCTGAGAGCTAAGGGTATCTTTTTAAGGATGAACAGGTAAAAGTGAAAGGCTGTCTTTTGACATTTTAACTAATCCCTTCTAGCCTGTGGTTTACTGCACATTTAGGATATTTGCTAGCAGGAGAGACTGGCTTTTTCACATATGTAACATGTCATTTTGAATTGGGCGTTGATTTGATGCTTGATAATGTAAGAGTTATACAATGAAATAGATTCTGATTGCATTAAAATGACATGCCCTGGCCTTTTACCTTTGATAGACTTGTAATGCAAACTGAACTCTCAGCAATGTAAGTTGTCATCTCCTGCTGAGCCATGATCGTTTAAGTGAGAAAACAGAATGTTTGTTTTCTGTTAACCCTGTTTAAAATAAGATAGAAAATATAGGTTTTAAAGACAGATTACACATTTAGACCAAGAAAATATGGGTTTCTATATAATTTAAGAAATGACATGTCATTATTTATGTCTGCACTACAAGTACATACGTATGCGTAATGCTAACATGTATTAAGAAGAATGTGCAAGTAATGTATTTTAGAGTAATTTTTTCAGAGTAATGCAATACAATGCAGATGATCTGACTGGTTTGTGTTCTTCTGTTACTTCAATGGTTTTATGCACATAAGTTAAAATGTAATTTTTGTCAGTGAAAGACACATGTTATCTTACTGATAACAGAAATTCTTCACAATAAATTATTAGCAAGCTTACTAGGACTAGAAGACAAATGCAAAGTACGTACAGGAGTATATTGTCATTAGTTATGTGGTGAAGACTTTGAAATTATCCGACATTGTACCTCACTTCCAGTAGTGAGGAGTACCCTGTTGTTTCTTCCATTTGTAGAAATGCACACATATGCTTAAGTTCCTTCTTAAAGAATGGCTTTAATGTTCATAAACTGTTCAGAAAAATCATCATCTGTTTTCAGAGTTACAAGGGAAACCTCACATGCCAGTCAATAAATTCTTAGTGACTGGAACAAATATTAAATCTGTGAAATCAAACTGAATTTACTTTCTGGCTGTAAAGATGGAATTTGTAAATTTGACAGGCAATTTAAAGGGCATAGGTACATAAAATAAAATTTCTTATCCAAATGCAACTTGAAAGTTACCTGTCAGAAGAGGTTAGAAGTCTGCTGTTTTCTCTCCTGAAGCGTGTCCTTTCACTTGTCAGTTTAGAAAGGTTAATACTGTACAAAAGAGCAATGGAAAGACCCTTTTTGGTGTAGTTTGATGTTTGTTTATTTTAAAAAAATATTCAGCCCCCCTCTAATAACAAATTCTTTTGATATTTGTTGGAACTGTGTATTATGTCCTAATACAAATTCTTGTTCAAATTCAGATCAGGCATTGGATGTGTAGTTACCCATATGATTAGAAAGGGGAGGCAGAGGATTTTTTTTTTTTTTTTTGCAATTGATACCAGATCTGCTCTGTAAGCAGTGAGGAGAGAGAATTTTTACAAGAAGAGAAGCACGCTCTTTTCTGCCTTATGCTCCCGCCTTTGCTTCACGTTTAGCCAGGAAAATGTTTATTTCCAAACCGCAGAAGGGGGTGCCAAGCTAGGAGTTAGCTGGGACTGCTGACTGCTGGTACTTTGGCGAGGCCACTCTGTCTCTCAAGTACTTTCTTGGCTTCTGTAGAAGAAGGGGTTATATTTACTTAATCCTTACTTAAGAAAAGTATAGTCTGGTCCCAGCAGTAGATTAGGAACCATCCTTTGTGATAAAGGAAAGGATAAAAATGTCCATTGTGTCATTTACTTCCAGATGAGCAAATAAAACTGTGGTCTAGTTAGTCCATTTACTTGTATCTGGGTTTATTGCCTGTGTGAACAGGTTATCCCTTTCTTGCTTGCACAGAGATTTGGTTAAGTGTGTGATTGTGTTATTACATATAAATTATTGGAATGGATTACACGTTAAGAATATCTTTAGAAGGGTAAAAGCCATAATTGGTTAATATGCAAAATATGAAGTTGAAACACTGAAGCACATTTTACATATTTACTTGTTTAATCAATGTTTTTGTTTCCCCATTTAGAATATTTCCTTTTCAACATAATTATTAAAAAGAGTATTTTATTATTTCTTTCTTAGGTTGAATTAAAGAGGAAGTATAATGACCAGCACAAAAATACAAGAGGCCTTTTACCAGGGAGCCAGTGGTATGAAATTCAAGCTTATAGGGCTCTGAACCAAGCCCTGGGAAGGTGAGATAAAGTGAATGTCATTCAATATTTATATATATTTGTCTTTTCAAATGTACAAATTATTCACACTCTTGGTGGGCTCAGAAAACTTGTTTGATGTTTAGCCTACTTGTATTTTTGAGAGGGAGAAATAACGTTGGTTTTTTTCTTAGACCTTTGCAAAAGGTCAATTCAATTACCATGCCGGCTGATCTTTTTCCAGATTTAGAAGTGGTATAGCTTATTTTCTCAAATGAAAAAATTCCCCCCAAATTTTTATTAACAGGATGGAATTAATTCATCCTTCTCCAACAAAATCTATCATATGCATAGATAGGTACAGCTGTCTGTCTTCCATATCCGTCATAGATGCCATACATCTGTCATAGATCTGTAGAGGTACAGACACAGATTTATAGATAAGCGGAGAAATATCAGCTGGAAGTCTCTTGTTGTTTGGATTAGACCTAATACAGATGTGATGGCATAAATGAAGGTTTAGAAATAAAATTGAGAGCAAGTAGTCTATGTTAGCAAAATCTCATTGTAATTTCTTGTTGTGACAGGTGTGATTTCTTAGATCCCTCTTTGGGGAGCAAGAGCATTAGTTAAAATTTGTTAAGAAGAATCTAAGAAAGTTGTGCAATACTAACAGTAAGAAATTAATTTGAACTTTTGTCACTGTGAAATAAGTTTGAACTTAAATCCGATTTTATTGAAAATTGCTTATTGTATAATTCATCATTTGAATGAAATTATGCTAAGCTTAAATGGAGAAAACAGACTTCCATTCTGACATGAATCTATAAATTGTGTATAATGCCATTAGACTAAGCTCTTACTAAACTGAGATTTGTCAAAGGATGACAGTGTATAATGACTCTTTTTATAACAACAGAGCAGTACTGAGTTGCTACTGGTTTCCATAGTAGGTAGGGAAGCTTCTTACTGCAAACATGCCTGCAGGGATAGAAGTGAGCAGAAGTGTGCAAGTCTTCAGGCTGCCACTTTTCTCTGAATTTAGTGCTGTTACCTGATATGAAGTAACAGCAGTCCATGAAATAAAACAGTGGGGATATACCAGATGCTGTGTATGGCCAGGTGACAGTCAAGCTCTGAATTCCCTTGCAGTGCTATTTTTTCTGAAAGTGTAGGATATGTCTCCAGTGGGCATAATTCATTTAAACTATGAGTTAAAAGAACATTTATTAAAGCAATGAAAAGAAAAGAAGTTGGAAGAAATCTGTTTCTTAAAGATGTTTTGGTAGCTTTTCTTATCATGAAGGCACTTGAGATGTAAATTAAAAACATTTCTTTGGAGAGCTAACTTTGTCACTTCCTTTTTAAGCCCTGACTCTGATACACTTGTGGTTTTATGTGCATTTGTAAATTTTCTTCAGATGTTGTCCTTCTCTCATGCAATGAGGATAAAAATGCTAAACCATTACTGACGATTTTTTCCCATATTTCATTTGTTAGCACTGTTCTCTAATAATTTTTTTCTGGCAGGCAGTATAGAAATCCAAATAATGTTAAAAGTCATATCAACACTTGTAAAGTGACTGTTGGATTATTTCTGTAGGCCTCTAACTCCTGAGGTATGAACTCAGCAGTATCACTGACAGCTTTGATCTGTAGTACTATTCATTTTGTTACTAAAAAGAGTTAGGAATAACATGCAGTTTAGAGATCGAAAAAGTGCACAATTATTTAAAAACGTGCTTGCAGTTGCATCCGTCCATTTTCTTTTCTTTTACACTTTTACATGTTCTCCTTTCAGTATTTAAGCTACTGGGTTAAGAGCAGAAAATAAATGACGTGGTTTGATTAGCTGCTGAGTATTTGTGTGGGTTTTTTGTTGTTTTTTTTAAAAATTTACCTATTCTCATATAGTAAATTCAAGAACTGAAGGAAAATTAAGATTCCATGATATCCATAAAAATTTTGGTGCAAAACAGTAGGAAAGCACTTCTGGTATATTTTTTGCATATTCTAGCTGATTCATTGCAATCCCTGTTGTCTGATCCCCACAGCTTTTTACTGTACGCACTTTCATTATATATCTGTACATTCTGTTTTGTTGCTCCCTTACAGGTGTATAAGACATAGGAATGACTGGGGTGCTCTTATTTTAGTTGATGACCGCTTCCGGAATAACCCTAGCAAGTACATAACTGGTAAGCTGTGAAAATCTTTCTGAGAAAGTTCCTAATATTAACAAATAGTGAAAAATCAAGATTACAGAAATACGGTTATGCAAGTACAGGTGAGTAGGAAGAGTCATAATGAAATATATCCATTGAACTCAAATTGTGCAGTTGAAAGTGAAAACTCTAAAAACTGTACCCTGGTGTACAGTAAGGTCATTAAAGACACTGAAACACGGTGATACCAATGTTCAGCCGAGATAATTTCTTTCCCCTTTTGGATATACGGATCACGATGCAGAAATTTCATTATGCAGAATTTGAGAATTCTTTCTTAAAATGTGACCTGTAAAAACTTAGACTCTTAATCTTTGAATACTAAATATATATAATGTATGAAGACATATGTGTGCATATGTACGTATTAAAATAAAATAGTGAGTAGATTTTTATTTGGACTTCGGGTAAGTCTCTAGTTGGATGTATGCTTTCTGCCTATAGTGAGCATTAATGATTAGAGTTAGCAGTCTGAATTTAACATTGTGCCTTTTTAGGTAAGAGCAGGTAAAGGTTGTGCCATTGCTCTTACGGTACCACAAAATACTCAAGACGTAAGAAGTATTTTCTGTTTGTAGTCTTATACTGGCTAGAAATAAATGCAGGTAAAACAGATCACACACGCTATCTTAATAAAGAAATAGATTATTTAAAATGAAACCAGAAATTGCTTAGGAGTGCGTTATGTCTCTTTCTTCCAGCCCTGATTAGAAGAGATGGGCAAAAAGATGCTGTAATGGGATAATGTTGCAGTCTAGTCAGCAGGTGGAGCTCAGCTGCTGTAGAACAAGTCAAACCGTTTTCTGACATGTCTGTACTAAAAATACGTTTAAATTCTCTAAGTAAACAGAACTAATACGTATCATAATACATATAACTTGTATGTCAAGTTTTGGTAAGGTTAGTACTTTTTCTAAAAAGGAAAATTTCACAGAAGAATCAAGTTCTCTGTTTTGTTTTTGTTTTAATTGGTATTAAAAGAATATTTAAATGGCTTTAAAACCACTTCAGGAAAATCAAGAAAGTTAGCTTCTACTACACTGTTGTGTGTTCCAACATCGTCTAAGTTGCTGTTGTGCTAAAGACGTCTGGTGTTGGAGAATTTTTTAAGTGAATGTAGTGTAAGAGCATATAGTATTTATGATATTGGACAGCTGTGATTCTTCCTGAATATCTCAGTTACCATTAGTTAATCTGAAATAAAGTTGTAAAAGCTTCCTTATATTCTAATTGTTGGTAGACCCTGTCAGAGTGATAATAAATAGCTATGCTCTATGTAAATTACCTTTCAATAATTCATGACAACGGGCAAAATGAAGACCCAGGCATAAGAAAAGTATAATGATGGTTTTGCAACACAGCAGTTTGAACTTAAAGTATTGGTGAAAGAGGTAAAGACATTTTATAGTAAAGAAATTACATTGTTAGTATTGCTCATTAAAACACTGCCATTGATTACATCAAATTTCCAGCCCTGCAAAGGAAGACTTATGTTATCTTACTTTCAAGAGCAACTTCGTGAGATCTTTATGAATCTCTCTATACTGTACACATGTAGAAGTATTTGCAATATTAGGGTATTGTTAACTGATGTGAAATACCTGGTATAGGTGATGTAGTTTTGTGTTAACACACGTTTTTGTTTGGTTTTTTTCCTTTTTCCTTAGGATTATCTAAATGGATTCGTCAACAAATCCAACACCATGAAAATTTTGGGAGTGCTCTTGAATCCTTACATGCGTTTGCTAGAAGAAACCAGAAAGGCATTGAATATTCTTCGGAGTGCAGCAGTGAATTTCTCCATGTACCTTCTAATTCAAAAGACCTGTCACAAGCCTCTCAACAGGAGGCAACTATTCATCTGTCACCAGATGTTCCTGCTAAAAGGGAGGAGCAAAATTTGGTTTCAGAAATGAATTTTACTACAAATATCAGCTCAGTTAATCCTACAGCATCAAATCAACCAGGTAACTTTGTGGCAGCAATAAAACAAAGTATGTTTATTTCCCATGGAAAAAACTTCATTAACAACTTTAAATGTGAAGCAGCATCTTTTTTTGGAAGTAACAAATGTTTTTTAAAATTACAGAAGTGCTACGGTGCAAAATGATAATTGATCACAATTGTGTATGAGCTGTGCTCAACAAACTGTAATTAACTGTCATTCCATCTGGCTGTCTTAAAACAGTTGATATTGTCTGATAAGTTTATTATAGCAGAGTCAAAAATGTTTTCACTTAAATTTCTTTTTCCATTGAAAACAATGAAGGTAATTTAAAATATACTTAAAACACAGAATCACACAAAATCTCAGAATCACAGAACGTTAGGGATTGGAAGGGACCTCAAAAGCTCATCCAGTCCAATCCCCCTGCCGGAGCAGGAACACCCAGATGAGGTTACACAGGAAGGCGTCCAGGCGGGTTTTGAATGTCTGCAGAGAAGGAGACTCCACAACCTCTCTGGGCAGCCTGGTCCAGGGCTCTGTCACCCTCACTGAGAAGTTGTTTCTTCTCAAACACATGAAGATTAGCATTCTTGCATGATGAGTGCCTTGGTTCAAGCTACATCTGTTGTTTAGACATTGCTGTGAGACACCTTTCATATAATCTCTTCTGGTACCAGCTTTACAAATAAGTATCTAACCATTCCTAAACTTCAGGAATGCTTGTGACTTCAGACAAGAAAGATGTAAATAACATAAGAGCACAATAATAAAGAATACAAATTTTTAAATGCAGTCATACTTTAACTTTACATGTGCCATTTAATCTATTGATTTAATTAAGACATTTCATGTGTGAAGATAGTTGTAACATCTGGACTTTTGTTTGTGTTGGACCTTAATGAGTAATAGGAAATTACTGTAAACATAATAAAACAGTGGTAACTTTGATGTGCTAAACATGCTGTAAATCAGCGAAGGAAAGGCATATACAGTTAATTAATGTTCTGTGATTTTTCACAGGTGGCCGGAAAGTTGATGTAGAGAACATCTCTCACTCTGTAACAAAAAGAAAAAAAAGTATAGACTCCACACCCAAAATGCCAGCAACTAAAATAGAGAGAGAAGAAAAGAATGGTTGGACTAATTCTGATATTGTGAAAGAACATTGCTGCCTTAAACCACTGACTTCAACACCTGTGCCTGTAGGCAAGAACTGTGTGTTCACAGCTAGTGGCAAACAAACGGACGTGAATAGGGCTAGTGAACTTACTGATAGTGTAAATCGATGCCAGTCATCATTAATCACAGAACATAGACCAAGTGTACCAGAATCATGTTTGGAAACAACTAATTTTTCAGTTAAAAATACTGAGGCTTCAGTTGCTGAAGAGCGTTCTGATGAGCTGCAGCTTCAAGTTGAGCCCTGCAGTGAGTTTCCTTGAGCAGGAGGGAAATGTGAACATTCAATGTTAAGTGTATCTGCGGAAGCTGAAGATGAGGATGAGAGTATCTACTTCACACCAGAACTCTATGATGATGCAGAATCAGAGGAACAGAAAGTTGGACCACCGGTTCCAGCCTGTAATACAAATGAGAATCAGATTGAATGTGGAAACTCAAGCACAAGTGTACATGGAATAATGCGAAATGAGGAGAGTAAGGATAGCGCAGTTAATAATGTAGAGATGGCTAGTAAAATAGAAGCAGAGCAGATAGCATCTCAAGAGATGGACACCATAAAACGGAAAATCAGTCTTTCCAGGTCACGAAATAAAGGTGTGTCATCTTTTCTGTTGAACAATACTAGCGCGTAGTGACAGCTCCTAGAGGAGATGCAGTGAGCAGCCTTTAGAACATAGCCTCACTACAGTGCACTGATGGCTTTCTAGTTCTCATGTAGTATATGCCACTATCTGACTCGATTTTTCATGATACTTTTTGGGTTTTCACTGTGAAAGTTATGCAACATGCAGTTTTCTATAGCTATAATTAAGATTCTTCATCCTAACTGGGTGGCAAAAGGACATAATGTGTGGAAATTCTAAACAGAGGCCCAAGTAGCATTTGACTTGTAATTATAGGCTGAGGAGGCTTGTCTGTTACAGCTTTAATTAATCCACCATTAAATACAATCAAGTAATTTGGTTTTTTTCTCAGAAAGCAAAATACCCATATAATCAAATTATGTTTTTCTTCATTGGATAGGGCTTTTTTATTTTTTAAAATAAATTAATATGTGGAACAGCATCTTTGCAGATAAGCAATGTGATAGATTGAGCCTGCGTACTGCAATAGGTGTATTCTTCAGTACTTCGTTTCCCTCAAACCTCTTTTGTCAAAATGTCTGTCAGAAACTGTGTAGTAGTGGTAATATTTGAACGTTTTGATATTTGATAATGAGGAGAAGCTTCTTCAAAGCTCTTTATTTGTTTTATATAAAAGTTGAGGTTTCTTTAAAATTTCCTTTTGTGAGAGGATGTTAGTTTTCTTTTAGTCAGAATCTGTACTTATTCATATTGAACACGTGTACTCATCTGTATGCCCTACAAACACATTTTCTGTGCAATATAAAACAATGTAAATTTGTACATAAATGTCTTTGAATCTTCCTCAGTCTACTTTTTTTGAACTATTTTAAACATTTCTTTCATTTATTGCAATCAGAACACTCAAGATTTTGCTGTAATAAAATACACTGCCTGATTTTTCAAGAAAAAAATGGTTCATTTCCATCAAATATTAATATTAAGATGCAGGATTTTTACAATCTTAAAGATTGATTCATAGGTATTTATATATTTTAACTAAAAGCAGGGATGACGTTGATTTCTTGACCAGCATTATCTTGCAGTACTTAGTATAAGGCATTTGGTTAAACCTTTTATGGTATTGATGCCACATAAGGATCATGTTTTCTTTCTGGGGGTTTCCTGATATTCTCTTTATCATTGGCTACTGATGCTTTTGAACTAGTTGGTAGGGTAGAGACAAGCTCTAATGTTGACAGCAATTCAAACATATAAGACATCTAAATATAAACATACTTGATTTAGATTTAAGTAAGTAACTGAGTAGCAGTAGGGTCGGCATGGTTCTACGGAAGTTTGTAACTGGCTTCTGGCCTCAGACTGTCCCATATCCCAAATGCTGAAGCCGCCTGTGGCTTTGCCGCTGCGCTCCCAAGACTTCCATTGGAGTCTCGAATGGCTCCATTTGCTGAAAACAAGTCTGTAACAAACCACTTCTTATGTTTCTGGATACCGGAACTTGAGCCTTGTGGCTTGTCTGCTCCTCTCATGGAACACTGTCTGTTGTTTGTCTTTCAGAAGATTTGTCTGTCTTCAAATCTGTAGTATTAAAAAAAAGAGAAAATCCCATCTTCCTTTCCTTATCTGGAGCAGGTTGTTCTTTTCTTGATCTTGTGTTGCATCTTTGAGTAGAAATTCTTTAAATAATGGCCTTCTTCATGTCAAATATTCTGCATTAATTTACAGCATCTTACATAAAATTAGTCCTTAATAATTATTTTTTAAAATACGTACTGAAATATCACTATTTGGCTTACTAGGTACAATTTTTTTCTTAAAGTTTGGTTGCTTTTTTTTTCTATCCACAAATTCACCCAACTGAAATCCTGACCATAGCTGTGTTGCCATGGACAACCGATGGATTTTTTTGTCCTTTGCGTTACTGCTGGTTTGGGAAGTACGGAGTAGACAGTTTCTTTTAGTGTAAAAGCTGTGTAAATTCAATCTTCATTTGCCGTTATATCTAACTGTGGTATTTAATATGTTAGTGATAAGAATATCCTTTATTTCTATAGTTAATGTATTTATGGTGATACCCCATATTAAATTAGGTGCTCTGCTGCCCAACCTGCAAATAGAAGGGAAGTGAAGTCAGTGTACTGACTTGACTGGAATTATTTGTTTGGACTTTCCAAATCTATAAAAGCTAAATTATTGAAAATTCCTGTCTTTGATATAATAGCTAGGTATGATCTCTACTGTCTGAAATAATAATAAAATCTTGAATTTATTCAAGGATTGAAAGTTCAGAGGCAATGCAGAAGAAGAAAAGCTACAGTTAGGCAAAATGGCTCCACCTGTGAAAGAAAGGTACTCTGTAGATAGAATAAAGCACCTGTTTTTAAGAGGCTACTGTTGAATGTTAAGGTGCAAGGGAAATAACTTTATTATATAATCTTCTCAGTGGAATAATACAGATGAAATAGTTTCCTCATGGTCTGAATGGTTTGCCCTAGATCTTTGCACACTCAGTAGATACCTTTGTTTCTCATGGCAGATATTAACTGCCTGTGGAGTCCAGCTCATAACTCATTACAGATGTGATTCCTGTTTCAGTATAAGCAGTGCTTCTGATTTCAGGTTACTACGTATTTTTTTAGGGCAGGATTTGCAAAGTGTAAGGTCATAATCAGACTGAAACTTAACTAGAGTTGGACACCTCTCTTCCTAGGCTACTTTGCAAAATTCCAAACTAAATCTTTGGTAGCCCAGATTGTTGCTGACTGTGAAATATCTCGTATTCTATATGAAAGTATTTCTGTTTAAGATAGGATACACATTTTTAACATAATGTATATTTGAATTATTAGCTAATATAAATTAAAAAATAAAAACTTTGATTCAAATATATTTATTTGAATCTTTCAAGTAGTATATTTCTCTGAAACAATTTTGATCTATTTTTTTGGTGTTTGTTTAAATGATTCAGCTTGCATAGTTGCATAGTTATATGCAAATTGGTATTTACATAAATTTACATATGTCTTGTTAGAAGGAAACGCACCAACGGCCTTGCAAGAAAGGACTTTATTGTATTGTATGTGGAGCTGAAATACTGCCAAAAGCAGAGGGTAAGATCTCTATGACTGGTCATTTGTTTCAGGTTGGGAATGATAGGATTTTTAAACCATCTCTTTACTTTTGCAGTTTTGGATACTGGAGAGTTATTTTAGAATAATTGGTGAATTTCTTCACTAGATGTGGTAGCTGTATAAATGAGTTGTTAATAATGCATTGGAGGCCTGCAGAATTCTTTTGGGGGGAGAGAAAGAGGGAGTTGTCACAATAACATAACTATTTTTATTGGCATTTCAGTGAAAATTACTTACTATTAATGTAATCTCTGACATATTTCTGTTGCTCGATTCAGTGGCCCTGATCCACTGATGGACTCTGACTGGTATTTAAGAGTTAACTGAAGGCAACTGGTCCTGACATTATGGGAGGCTGAAAGAAATTATTTGTAACAGTGGCCCATTCACTGGGGCATGTTCCTTCCAAGGATTAGGTGTTAATTTGCTACCAGTTGCTGTGAGAAGTTTGGTAATATCTTGGCACAGTAACTCTGTGAATCTAATACATGTTTTAACGAAACTATCGAAAGTTTTACTGAAAAACCGTGTGATCACACTGTTACTCTGCAATATGTAACCTACCTTGTACTAATTGAGTTTGCTTTTCAGTCCCTGATTGACCCGTTTTACGAAATGTGGATTAGGCATTCTTGGAAATTGTCTCTATGTTTTTGTGAGGCACTTTGGGAAGGTCTGAAAGCTGATAATGGTAATAACTCTACTACTTTTTAAAATGCACTCTATCTTCAGGCTACTGGGCAATGTGTGGTAGTGACCTAATTCCAAAATGTTCTCATCAGTTACATTTAGAAACAATTAGATACAGATGCTTAATACACTTAAATGTGTAAAACACTGTCCTCCTGGAGAACTTAGTGAGAATTCAACTGGTCCCAGGTTTTACAAATCTGAAGGTAAGAAAACATTTGCTTCTGTGTGCCATTCAGGTACACCTTGAAAGAGAGCCAGAATGCTACATTTTTAGGAGGTGTGCATTAGACACAGAGCAGAGACCTGTTTATTGCACGGAGTCTTCTTTATGACAGCCCCTATGTTTACAGGACTCTTAAACATCCCCTTTCCTTCTCCAAGGTCCCTTCTACTGCCCCAAAAGCTCATTAAGTGATGAAGCGAGCATGAAACTGGTATCAAAGAAGTGACACTAGCCAGAAAAGAAAACCGAGACAAAACCCAGTCCTCTAGAAGTCATCCTCTTCAGCCATAAAAATGAGGGAGACTGGGCTTAGTAGGCAGGAACTGTGTTAGCGGCTCATGACTGTTGTGTGCTGCAGCCGAACTGGTCATGAAGCTGGACCAGACGGTATCTGGGCCAGATGAAATCAAGAAAGGACAGGTCTCCTCTTTCACAGAGCAACCCTGAGCTGAGGGAGAGCAGAGATATCCCTCGTGCTTCTGCACCTGTTAAAGTCGTGCCAGTCAGCAAAGTCCACGTTGCCTTGTGGGGAAGGAAAGGGAGGCCCAGGTGATGGAGGTCACTTGTTGCCATAATGTATCTCCTTTAACACTTGTGTATCTCATCAGTAGACTTTGATTCATTTCCTTAATATTACTTTCTCAGCATCATTGTATCTTTGCAATTTGGTATAGAATTTGTGAAATGGAATCACTATGTATTAAATGAAAGCTTTCTGAATCACTGAGGTGCTTTAATGCCTACAGTTAGCAAGGTGTCCAGTGTCAGCAAGAAGTTTTATGCTGTTTAAACTGAATCTCGGATGTCAGATGATTGATGAAAGTTTAAAAATCTGCCACAGTTTGAAGAAAATGAAAAATAAATGACTTTATTCAAGGTGGATTCAAACTCACCGCTCAATTGAGGAGTAACAACAAGGGGAAAATTATCTGTTGAAAAGTAAATTCTGTACACGTTAAAAAATTTAAATAAGGCCTTCTTCCAAGGCCCATTTACAT